CCTCTTCTAGAATCAGAAACTCTACTTGGAAAAATTACTCTGGATTTAACAATTCAAAGAGCTCTTAAGACATTGACAACCCTGAAGAAGAAGAATGTTTTTTCTGTAAAATTCTACATTTATTTGTGTAAATTTCACTTTAGTTCACTGTTGTCCTATATTCTTTAAAATGCTATGAAAACTTTTGTTTTTTAGCCTACTATCTTGTGTTTAGCTATTAAGCTTTAGCTTACCAAACTGCCAAATTTAGACTTTATTTGTCTCATTTTTTCCTATAATATTCTTCATCAATTTACGATCTTCATTTCTTATGTCAGATAGAATACAAAACAAATTCTCCCTTCAGTCTCATGATTTGTGAAGAAAAACTGAAGGGAAAACTCAAAGAACTCTCTCAGAATGTAACTTTGCAGTACTCCTGTGATTGTATAACTGTCAGACAAGAAGAGAAATTTGACTGAGTCCCCATCCAGCCCTCTCTTTGGGCTCAGACCTCTTCGGCAGTGGAAGGGAACAGGTAAAGCACAGAAGCAAAGGACAGCTGAAGTCATTCAATCCCAAACCACAATCCCAAATATGCTTTAAAATCTGCTTGAGGGTTACTTTTAAATAGCCATGTCATCAAGTAGGAGAAATAAAAAATGTGGATAAACACTATTTGGTTTATTGACATGGGTCATACCATATCTAAATGAGAAAAAAAAGGCAAATATCAATTTCATCATATTCAGAATGTTAGAGTAATAGTGCATCCTTTTTTTGTCTGTATACTTATATGTTTACATATATATGAAGTGATATATATATATTGATATATATACACATATATATATTATTTCCTACTTTCATATGCTATCCTGTTGCTGTTTAGCATCCTTTCATTTCAACTTGAAGAACTCCTTTTAGAATTTCTTATAAGGCATTTCTAATGGCAATAAACAACCTTGGCTATTGTTTGTCTGGGCATGTCTTCATGTCTTCATGAACAGCTTTTTTTGAAGAACAGCTTTTCCAGGTATGGTATTCTTAGCTGACAGTTTTGTTTTGCTTTGTTTTGTTTTGTTGCAGTGTTTTAACTACATCATCCCATTCCCCTCACACCTGCAAGACTTCTCCTGGTCTTATGGTATTTCATTTGTATATGACATGTTGCTTTCTCTTGCCACTTTTAAAATTCTTTGTCTTTGATTTTTCACAATTTTATTTTATAATTAGCCCTTGTTTAGATTTTGGGGGAATCATCTTATTTGAGATATTTTAAGCTTCATGCATATGGATTTCCATTTCTTTCTTCAGATTGGGGAAATTTTTAGCCATTAATATTTTGTTAAAATTAGAGTTGGTATGCAATATAATATTAGTTTTAGGTATATAACATAGTGAGTCAACATTTATGTACCTTACAAAGTGATCAACACAATAAATCTAGTAACCATCTGTCACCCTACATAGTTATTAACAGTGTCATTGACTATATTTGCTATGCTGTGTACCTCCATGACTTACTTCATAACTGAAAGTTTATACTTCTTTATCCCCTTTTCCTTTTCTGCCCACCCATCTCCCAGCACCTACTCTCTGGCAACTATCAGTTTGTTCTGTGTATCTATGTGTCTGTTTGTTTTGATTTGTTCGTTTTGTTTTTCAGATTCCACATATAAGTGAAATCATATGGTATTTGTCTTTCTCTGTCTGACTTATTTCACTTAGCACAATACTCTCTAGGTCCACCATGTTGTTGTAAATGGCAAGATTTCATTTGTTTTTATGGCTGAGTTTTATGTATATATAACTCAGTCATTAAAAACTCAGATATATATATGGATACACACATACACATACATACATACATACATACATAGTCATTATCTTTATTCATTCTATATATAAACAATGCTGCAATGAACCTAGGGGTGCGTATATATTTTCAAATTATTGTTTTTGTTTTCTTTAGAGAAATACTCAGAAATGGAATTGCTCAGTCATCTGGCAGTATTATTTTTAATTTTTTGAGGAATCTTCATCCTGTTTTTCACGGTGGTGGCATTAATTTATAATCCCATCAACAGTGCACAGGGTTTTTTTTCTCTTCATCTTTGCCAACAATTGTTATTTGTTTTTGCTTTTTATGATGTCATTCTGACACGTGAGGTGAGGCGATATCTTATTGTAATTTTGATTTGCCTTTCCCTGATGATTAGTGATGTTCAGCATTTTTTCATGTGTTCGTTGGTCATCTGTATGTCTTCTTTGGAGAAATGTCATTCAAGTTCTGTAGCCACTTTTTAATTAGGCTGTTTAGTTTTTGACATTGAGCTGTATAAATATTTTATATAGTTTGAATATTAACTCCTTATCAGATATATCATTAGCGAATATCTTCTCCCATTCAGTAGGTTACCTTTTCATTTTGTTAATGATTTCCTTTGCTGTGCAAAAGTATTTTAGTTTAATGTAGTCCCATTTATTTATTTTTGCTTTTCTTGCTTTTTCCCAAGGAGACATTCAAACATGTTGCTAAGACTGATGCCAAAGAGTTTACTGCCTATGTTTTCTTCCAGGAGTTTTATGGTTTCATGTCTTACATTTAAGTCTTTAACACATTTTAAATTTATTTTTGTAGATGATTTAAGAAAAGTGGTCTAATTTCATTTTTTCCCAACACCATTTATTGAAGAGACTATCTTTTCGCCCATTGTGTATTCTTCCCTCTTTGTGTCTAGATTAATTGACCATATAAGTGTGAGTTTATTTCTGGACTCTATTCTATTTAATTGATCTATGTTTCTGTTTTTATGTCAGTATCATAATGTTTTGATTACTGTAGCTTTGTAGTATAGTTTGAAATCAGGGCATGTGATACCTCCAACTTTGTTCTTCTATCTCAAGATTGCTTTGAATATTCAGGTCTTTTGTGGCTTCATATAAGTTGCAAGATTATTTGTTCTAGTCTGTGAAAGCTGTCATAGGTATTTTGACAGGGATTGCCTTAAATCTGTAGATTGCTTTAAGTAGTATGGACATTTTAATGATAATACTTCTTCCAATCCATGAGCACGGTATATCTGGCCATTACTTCTTTGAATAAGCTTTCTGGTTCTCTCTATTCTTCTGGGACTTCAGTCATGTGTATATTGGTGTTCTTGTTGGTGTTCTATAAGGATCTTTCTTTCTTTGTTCTTTTTAATTTTTTATTTTTCCTTTGATGTATAATTAGCATCTTCAAGTCCACTGATTATTTCTTCTGCTTGACCTAGTTTGATGCCCTTCCTGGACCACCTCGTTTCATTGGGCCATATTCAGATTTTGAGATAAGAGGAGCAGAAGCCAGCAGGCTTGTGTCTCCTTATGTCATTTGGTGGAGGGGTGGGAGATATCAGGCTTTATGAATGATATTGCTATATCTAGCATAGGCTCCCAATTCCTTGCCCTATTTATTTAGCTAAGATTAGGTTAGATTGTTGAGATATAGCTGCTGCCTCTGAAGGCATATCGGTTAGCTAGTTACCTGGATAACGAATGAGGGTTAGGCTGGCCTGTCAGTGCTGTTACATTGCCAATATAAGTGGGTTGAACAGCCCACCAGTGCACAGATTGTGGAGTGTAATTTGAGTTGGCCTTTTTGAAGTACCATTCTGAGTGAATAAGCACTCTTGGTTCAAGGGCAGGTGCTGGAGCACCTTACTAGTTCTCGTTGAGCTTTTTCATTTTCTGTCACTTGGCCAGACAGAACAAATTATTCTTGAGGTTATTTTTGTCTATGCCCGCTGGTGGTTCCATGTTAAAGACTGATTTTTAACCCAATTTGGGATACACATGAGAAATTTTGGAAATACATGAGAAATTAAGGGGAAAAAAAAAACAGGGAAGTCACCCTATTGCTATTCCTCAAGTCTAGAGGTCTCTAGCCAGTCTGTCTTTTGTTTTTTCACTTTTGGAGGTTTTCCTTCCCCACCAAATTATTTCCAGAGTATTTAGTTCTATTTAGAGGGAAAAGTCAAGGAAAACTGAATCTATACCACCTTGTTCCAGAAACTAAATTGACCACAGGTGTTGAATAATGTTCTTTACTAAAAACGTAATTGATTATAAACACTTTTTGAGTAACACTCCAAAGAACAATAAAAATCCATTATTCGCTATGTAAAGATATATTGACCATTATTTACTATGTAAATAACTAAACTGGGCATTATAGGAGGTGCTAACACCTGTGAAAGATACAAATATAGCTCTTGAGTACTTCTAGTCAGATAAATCTAGTGAGGAGAGTTATGTAGAAAAGAAAAAATAAAACTTTTGCTCTAGAGAAGTATATGGTAAGTACCATAAAGAGATTTAAAAAGTAACACAAATGTTTATATATATATATACACCTCATATTAATATTAGGTAATTACTCATATTAATATCAAGTAATTTGCCACTTGTGGTTGAAAAAGAGGTATCATTACCTTTGCCAATTTAACATGTGTAAATTAGGACAATTCCAGCAATCTGAGACACATGGTCACCTTATCTTATAACCTTTTTGTTTTAACTATTTATTGCAGAAAGGTGCTCACATGCATATATTTAGAGAATAGTATAATGAACCCTTATTTGCCTATCATCCATGTTCGGTCACTATAAATTATGGCCAGTTTTCATCCTTCCATACCCCTCTGCCCTAGCAATATTTAAGTAAATTCTGAGCAGCTTCTTTAGTTATTCTCTGACCAAAACACTAATCACTTTTATCACATGACTTTTCCTTTCTCCCCACCAGGCTTTCTCATAACCACCCCATCCACATGTTGTTTTTGTTTTACTTATAGGGCTGATGCTCTAATGGTTCAACTTTGCTAGAAGACAGATACTTAATGGTTATTAACCAGCTCAGAATAAGGAGTCAGATCATCTGTGACTCCCAGACCTGCCTGCCTGCCTGCCTGCCTTATCTAGACCAATGATTCCATAATGGAGGCTTCATAAAGACTAAGACTGAAGCCTTGTTGTACATGAGGATCATGTTCCTGCTACACTGGCTTGGGGTATTTCTGTCTTTTTCTGGACACACCCGAACTGAGTACTCCCAATATCACAATCCTCCAGAAGTGGTGATTCCCTTGAGGGTAACAGGCACTGGCCTCCGCATGAAGCTTCCAGGCTGGCTCTCCTATGGTCTGCATTTTGGGGGTGAGAGACACGTTTTCCACATGAAGATCAAGAAGCATTTGCTGCCCAGACACCTCCCAGTGTTCACCTACACAGACCAGGGTGCTCTCATGGAGGACCGGCCTTTTGTCCAGAATGACTGCTACTATCATGGTTATGTAGAGGGGGACCCAGAATCCCTGGTTGCACTCAGTACCTGTTTTGGTGGCTTTCGAGGATTGTTACAGATAAATAACATTGTGTATGAAATTAAGCCCATGATTTTTTCTACCAAATTTGAACATCTAGTATATAGAATGGACAGTAGGGAGACTCAATTCCCAGCCATGAAATCTGATACTATGCAAGAGGAAATTGTACACCAATTTGAGTTTCAAGAGATTGGTAGTTCTACTCTGGAACAAAGTGCTTATGAGGGCTGGTGGGTCCATAATTTTTTAATTGAAATGGCAGTGGTGGTTGATAATAGTCTCTATGTTCATTGGGGAAAAAATGTCTCAAAGTTGCAGGAAAATTTATATGTTGTTGTAAATATAGTGGATTCCATTTATGAGGTATTGGGCCTTAAGCTGTTATTGTTTGGTTTGGAGGTATGGACTCAAGCAAACCATATTAAAGTAGACGATCCATGGAGATCGTCGACGTTTTTTTGCCGTTGGAAGTATGAAAACCTTGCTTCCCGCATGCCACATGATACTATACATCTTTTTATGCATAAGACATTAAAAGGATTAAGTGGTCTAAGCTTTATTGGCGGACTATGTAGAATAAAACGTGGTTGTGCAATTGTTACTTTTTTAAACAAATCCTTGACCATTGCTGCAATTGCGGTGGCTCATCATATGGGTCATAATTTGGGTATGTTTCATGATCTGTTTTTCTGTACATGTGGAAAATATCAATGTATAATGCATTTTGATAACCCACCAATAACTAAATTTAGCAATTGTAGTTATTCTACATTTTGGGATCATTCTATAGTTAAGAAAAGATGTTTGTTCTACAATATTCATACAAAGGACATATTTACGCTGGCGCGCTGTGGGAATGGTATTGTTGAAGAAGAAGAGGAGTGTGACTGTGGAACTTTACAGCATTGTGCAAAAGATGCCTGTTGTCTGTCAAACTGCACTCTGAGTTTTGGGTCTAGTTGTGCTTTCGGACTTTGTTGCAAGAACTGCAAGTTCTTACCATCAGGGCAAGTGTGTAGAAAGGAAGTCAATGAATGTGATCTTCCGGAGTGGTGCAATGGAACATCCCATTTGTGCCCAGATGACGTATATGTGGAAGATGGAATTCCCTGCAATGACAGTGCCTACTGCTATGAAAAGAAATGTAATGACCGCACTACACAGTGTAGGCAGATTTTTGGCAAAAAAGCGAACAATGCAAATCACAGTTGCTATAAACAGATAAACACTGTAGGCGACCGTTTTGGTAACTGTGGTACACAAAACGCTTCATATGTAAAATGTAATATCTCAGATATCCTGTGTGGGAGGATTCAGTGTGAGAACGTAAATGAAATTCCCCTTCTGAGAGATCATTCTACAGTGCATTGGGCTTACTACAATGGGATCAACTGCTGGAGTACTGACCACCACTTTGGGATGACCATACCTGATATAGGTGAAGTGAAAGATGGCACAGAGTGTGGTGCAGAACATCTTTGCATCCACAGGAAGTGTGTCCATATATCTCAGTTAGATAGCAATTGTTCACCCTCATTCTGTAACAGGAGGGGGATCTGCAACAATAAACATCACTGCCATAAGTCCACTTTATGGTGAGCCAGAAGGAAATCCCCCTAAAACTTTTGATGACTTTTAAGAAGACTATACTCTCTAAATCCTATATAATTAATCCAGACATCAATATCATTAAAGACAACTAGAAAAATTCCAATTGCCTGGTACGATTCTGACTCTGATACCACTTCTGATCATCAACTAAGATTCTGCACTTTCAATGTGTGTATGGGGGGTTCCCTATGTCACCAAGCAAGCCTCCTATACCAGCTGAGATCCTACAATTTAACTCAGTTCTAACACTACCTGGAGACAGCAGCAGATCCCACAGGTTAAGTAAGGGCTCAGCTCGACCAGACTGCTTCCCCTACTTCACATGCCAATCACAAGTCCAGCTTGTCCCCTTTGCCTCTGACTGACCAGCTATAGATCAGAGGTTCCCATGACTCGCTCCTTGGGTTCAATTAATTAGCTTGAGCAGCTCATAGAACTTAGAGAAATATTTCACTTACTAGATAACCAGTTTGGTATAAAAGGATATAACTTTGGAACAGCCAGACGAAAGTGATACATAGGGCAAGGTCTGTGGGCAGGGGCACAGAACTTCCGTGCCCTCTCCAGGCATATCACTCTCCATTCATTTGCACATGTTCATCAACCCAGAAGCTCTCCAAACCTCATCTTTTTGGAGTTTTAGAAAGGCTTTATTAACCTAGGTATGACTGACTAAATCATTGGCCACTGGTGATCGAACTCAATCTCCAGCCCCTTTCCCCTCCATGGATGTAAGAGGCAGGGTGAGAAGGAAAGTTTCAACCCTCTAATCACATGGTTGGCCTTTTGTCCAGAATGACTGCTACTATCATGGTTATGTAGAGGGGGACCCAGAATCCCTGGTTGCACTCAGTACCTGTTTTGGTGGCTTTCGAGGATTGTTACAGAGAAAGAACATTGTGTATGAAATTAAGCCCATGATTTTTTCTACCAAATTTGAACATCTGGTATATAGAGTGGACAGTAAGGGGACTCGATTCCCAACCATGAAATCTGATACTATGCAAGAGGAAATTGTACACCAATTTGAGTTTCAAGAGATTGGTAGTTCTACTCTGGAACAAAGTGCTTATGAGGGCTGGTGGGTCCATAATTTTTTAATTGAAATGGCAGTGGTGGTTGATAATAGTCTCTATGTTCATTGGGGAAAAAATGTCTCAAAGTTGCAGGAAAATTTATATGTTGTTGTAAATATAGTGGATTCCATTTATGAGGTATTGGGCCTTAAGCTGTTATTGTTTGGTTTGGAGGTATGGACTCAAGCAAACCATATTGAAGTAGGCGATCCATGGAGATCGTCGACTATTTTTTGTGATTGGAAGTTTGAAAACCTTGCTTCCCGCCTGCCACATGATATTATGCATCTTTTTATACATAAGACATTAAGAGGCTTAAAAGGTGTAAGCATTTTTGGCGGACTATGTAGACCAAAACATAGTTGTGGAATTATTACTTTTTTAAACAAATCCATGACCATTGCTGCAATTGCGGTGGCTCATCATATCGCTCATAATTTGGGTATGTTCCATGATCCGTTTTTCTGTACATGTGGAAAATATAAATGTATAATGCATAAACATTAGATCTAAGTCAATCAGAGAGAGTCATAATAACAAGGAGGAGTCGATGAAATTTAAAAAAAGGCACAATGGAGGAAATGAGCAAAGAGAAAATTTGATTCATCAAATGAACTTTTAAAATATTGAAAAACCCTAACACAACTCATGCAGAATATACAAGAAAGAAAACAGGTTACCAGGAGCAGAAATGGAAAGGAGACATCACAAAAGAGCATTTATAATGAAAAAAGAAATGTGAAAAGCTTTTTACCAATAAATTTGACAATTTGGATAAACAAGTTTATTGAACAATGCAAGTTATCAAGCCAATGTTACAAATAATATTAAATAAACTGAATCAGTGTCAAAAAGAATTGGCCAGTCCCAGATTACTTTTTCAGTAAAATCTTCTAAAAATATAAGAAATATATACCCTTAATTCTTCAAAAACTTTAGCCGAGGGGAAAAATGAGGAAATAGCTCTATATTCTATGAGTCTTGGGGTACCTAATTCTCAAACCCGACAAGGGCATTACATATAAAAAAATCTGCAAACCCATTTTTTGAGAGTAGATACAATGGTGAATCCTATGTGACATTTTTTCCTAAAGACATTGATGAAGAGACAGAGATGGTACTCCCTCATCACTTCTTCTGCACACATTACTACATGTGTTAGAATAAAATTAAAAATAAAAGAAGTAAAATGGGACATGGATGAGAATGGAAGAAATAAAGCTGTTGTTTTTCACAGGTGGCATATTATACCTAGAAAATACAACTTATTAGAATTATTCAGTTAATGGAGAAGGTTTCTGATTATTAGGTGAGTATTCTATACTCGCTTTCTACCATCATCAACAAGCAAATGGAAATAAAATTGAAAATTAATTTCATTTATGTTAGTATCAAACATAACATGTCAATATATATGTAGATCAAATCGTTATGTTGAATACCTGAAACTAATATAATGTTATATATCAATTATATCTCAAAAAAAAGAAAGAAACCATCTGAGACATTGCCAACAGTATAAGTTGATGGATAGACTTGGATCTGCAAGGACCCCAGTCACAAAAATAAGTGACTTAGGCCTACACGCCACCCCTAAGATTGCTAAGAAGTCATAGCAGAGAAAAATACTTTGGGTAAGTAGAGAGAACTCACAGACCTAAGAAGCTCAGCAAGCTTCAAGCAAGATAAATGCAAAGAAAATCATACTCATGTGTATTATATTCAAACTGTTGAAAACCAAAGATAAAGGAGATGAGGTGTGAAAAATGAATAGGAATTAGGCAGGGGTGGTCAGCGAGCGAGGGAGATTGTTCCAGGCAGAGTGGACAACATGTTTAAAGGCCACACAAGTGGTTCCAGGAATTGAAATTAATTCTTTAGGGTTAAAAAAGTTAGAATAGTGAGAGGAGAGGTAAGTGAAATGAGCAAGACCCATAGAGAGAGCCTTGAGAGAGACTATTAAGCTGAGAGAAATGGGAAACAAAATTATAGCCTGGGTAACATAAACAGATTTGTCTTTGTAAAAAGTCACTATGGCTTCAATATGTAGCATAGATTGGAGAGACAGAAGATAGAGTCAGAAAGAGACTATTGCAGTAACCAAGGCATAAGAGAATATTGGACAGAACTTGACATGTGGCAGTAAGATGAGGAGTTACAGACAAATATACAAGAGCTATATTAGGAGGTAGAAAACGTACTACTTGACGGATGTTTAGCTGTAAGGGATAATGGAGTAAATGGTGACTGATGTAACTGCGTAATTTGTCCAGGTTTGCCTATATATCCGCATGCCATTTTCATTACCTCGTTTCAAATAGGATGATTGTGTCTTCATATACAATTATGATCATGCCACTCCCCTGCTTAAAGCTCTTCAGTGGCTCCCATCATGCCTCTGCTTGGAAAAAACAAACATATCAAAAACCTAGGAATAAAATGAATAAAATATGTGCAAGATTTCTTCACTGATCAGTACAAGATATTGCTAAGAGAAATTAAACAAGGCACAGCTAAATAAGGTATTATTACTATAGTCAGTGAATGAAAGAACACATTTTATAAAAGTGTCAATTATATCTAGAGTAATGTATAAATTAAATACGATCTTAATATAATCTTAACCATAAGTGGTTATTTTATTATTTTTTACATTTGAGAAGCTAAACTACTGTGAAAACTCTGAATATGTAAAAGAATCACATATCTTGAAGAAAAATAGCATAGCAAGTAGAGTCGCACTACCAGATAGCCAAACCTATTATGAAAGTATAGAAATTAAGATAATGTGATACTGACCAATAAAATAAAATTAGATAAGTGTTTGTACACACAGACCAAGGGGGGAAAACTCTAAGACCGAAAATCTACCTTCGTAAGCAGAAGGCAGGAAAAGACCGAAGAAAGAAGCTGGCCACTCCAGTCTGGTCGTTGATGGAGTTTATTAAGGGAAACTTACCTAGGAAGCATGTCTGGTGCAGCTGCAAGACAAATGGATCCTTGTGCCAACTGGCAGATTTATATAGGGTAAAGTGTGAGGGGAAATGGTCATGGGCACTAGTTTGTGAGCTTTACTACCAGCTATGGAAATTACTTTACACGTGTATCAGGTGAGGCCAACAACCTGTTCCAGGAACCATCATATAGCAGGAGGCGAGGGAAGGGTGCTGATTTATGTCAGAATACCATCCATTATCATCAGACAGTCTCTAAGGGGGATTTTCAGAAAGCG